TATATATATATATAGAACTATTTTTCTTTTACCTCAATCTCTTAATTCTTGTTCCCATAAACCTCTTTGAAATTGAACCACTTCAGAAAAGCACATGGGTTTTATCGCAATGCATAAGATTTAACTGAAAAGTTTAGAAGATGCATTAAATTGCAATTTTAATCTATCAGTTTTTCCGATTGATTTATTAAAATATTGTTTGTAATGGATTTTTGTTTTTGAATGGATCAAAAGAGTACACAGTGACTCTAATATGAAATTATCGTGAGACAGATCTCTGAAATAAAGGGCTTGGTTTTAGTTAGTCCTATGGCACATTTTTGGCAAAAAATGAATAATCGTACTAACATACTCGCCATATCGATTAGTGAATTTTGTTCGAGAACTGTAGTTCTGGTATGACAAAGGATGCTGTACAGCGGGGACATGTCTGCTGTACTCGGTGACAAATACTGACGGATTGAAATCTACGTCTTCTCATTTCTCAGAATGAACTCGATGTGGTATATGATTATCTATAGCCAAGCCCTTCAAATGATCCTGGACCGAAAAAAGGCTTGCTGTCTAGGAAGGCGTTTCTAAATGTCAGTGCGTGATGGTGGAATGATCGGAATCCACAGTGAAGGCTAGTTGGACGGGAACGGGATTTTTAAAAGTTGATTAAGTTTTAGCGTAAGAGTGCGCGTACTAGAATGGTTTGTACCTTTCGCCATTTGCAAAAAAGTTCGGATGGTAATAAGGCTCGTATTAAGTAGACAAGTATTTGTAAAAATAAAATCCTTCAGATCATATTCTAAGACATTGTGTTTGAAAATGTATAATTAATTACGTATTCCTAATGCTGTTTTACTTACATTTTAAATGCACTGCTACTCACGAGACAAATTTATAAAAAAGGAAAAGGGTTTCCTCAAACACGGGAATTTGTCTATTTCTACATTTTTGTTTTGATTTTGAATTTCTCGTAATCGTATTAAATACGGAGTAATGTACGTAGCTTAGAGAAAATTGTGAAAATCAATATTACCAGGTACCAAGAACATTTTGTGGTTCTTTGTACCGTAAAAGTGTTTATTATTACATGTTCTGTTGAGTTTTGAGAAAATTGTTCATTACTTGGCACGTTATTGCTATGGAAACAAATTTTTGAATATGCTACAATAAAGTATGTGAATGCATACAAAAGTCACTTGTAGTTGTATGATTGGTTGTATCAAATTATTAATTTCAAACCCGTTAAACTTTACCTGGCCCTAGTAGTCTTTGAGATATAGAAGATAATGGTAAACTAATCATTCTTTTTGTCTCGATTACTAATCGCATTTGCTGCATGGAGACGATAATTTCAGATAACGAAGTAACACGTAACAATGAATAATTGAGTGGGTAAATGGGAAAAGCCAACCCGAACTAGGTCAGGTTAGCAGAGGGAGATGAAGTGATGCGATGAGCATTATTGTTTGTTTTACTAATAGTAAAAATTATCAAATTTACTTTTTTCTTTCTTTTTGTAGAAACGGGAGAAAGGCCGCATGCGGGTCCACCACCTGAACAACGTCAACAAGGCGCTGCAAATTTTAGAACAGAACAATGTGAGTTTTTGTGGCTAATGTTTCTTACGTTACCCATTAATCTCATTGCTCTTCGAAGTGGTAAAAAGCTTTTGTTGCGATTGAACCAATGTCTCAGGGGATAGTTCATTTCTCTTCTGAAAAAAGCGTAGGGACACTGAGAAAATCATTTATTTCTGTGTAGTTTCTAGGGGCGCCCAGAAAAAACAGGCTCGGAGCAGCAGTTCCATGGAGGGCCCCTTACTTCAAATAGGAGTTACGTCCCCCCTCCACTCATACATAAACATAATTAATTTCTCGGTGAAAAAGAAATAACTTGACCCCCGTCAATCAATGACCCCATCTCGATCAGGTTTTCGTCCAGTTTCCCTGATCTTCGAGCAAATGCTGAGATGGCGCCATGTTTTGCTTCTGGACATACATAACTTAAATTTATCTTCTCCCATAGCACGTCACACATAGTTTTTAACGTAAATGAATAAATAAACTTTTAGTGATTAGTTTGATTTAAAAGTAAATGCATTATTTGTGATGAAAGGAAATTAAACCGGGACCTGATGCAAGCTGCCCTCGGCTGCCTCCCCACTTTCTGGGTGACCCTAAAGTTTTGTGATGTACACATTCGTTCCTGTTTTTTTATAACATATCTGGCTTATAAATATTTTAAAACGTATTTGACATTTTTTTAATATCCGAATTTCAGGTAAAACTAGTTAATATAAGCAATAATGACATAGTTGACGGTAATCCCAAGCTTACATTGGGCCTTGTATGGAGCATTATACTTCATTGGCAGGTAAGAACCTTTCGTGTTTTTGTAAAATAAATTTGTTTGGAAACTAAGGAGTGAAGTATATAATTTGCTTCTTGGTAGGTCCACTATCACCTGAAACACTTGATGTCGGATCTACAACAAACTAATTTGGAGAAGGCTCTCCTAGCATGGTGCAGACGAAATACGAAAGTAAGTGTGTGTTATATTTTTCAAATGTTTTTACTTCTCATATTTCGTTTCTTCTCATAAGTGAAATTTTAGTAATAATTAAGTAAATGGCGTTAAAATATCGTTGCGTATTATGTTCGCAACTCTGATTCAGTTCGTGCTTCAAATGAACGAATTGAAATGATACGAAGGGCGGGAATGCAGTTGCCTTTACTTTTTTACTTTCGATTTTTGAATTCCACTTGTGGAAACTTACTTTACCTCTGTGTGACCCAATTTTCAAACACCATTTGGAATTGAATTACAGGCTTTAGAAATTAATTTCATTGTGTAATTGAATTGTTAATATCTCGTATATTTCACTCATTACTGTGAAACGTTGAGGTTTTCTTGACCTCCTGGATTTCTACCCCCACTCCATCAACATTAGTTCAGTTTTGATTAAAAGATAGCAACAAGTGTTGTTGACATTGCTACATTTTTGCTCACGAGTTACAGAAATGATTTGCATCGAAAATCTAACTTAAAGACTTAATGAAATACTGCATACTAATATTTCAGAACTTCCTTCGAAATAATCTTCTCTCGTATCTAGCGAAATGAGAGCTCAAGAAAACTTAAGAAACATTTCATAATCCAGGGCCCATCTGTCGCTAGAGAATTAAGACTCAGAGTAATTAATGCAGAATAATAAATGCATCAATGCTGTTGATACTTATGAGATGTAAACTGGATTTTCTAATGTCCTCTTCATAGCTTAAAATACCGCGGGCTGGGCAACATGTATTAGTGTTCGCTTGTGTTAAGTCTATTAATTATCTACAAATTAGTTTTTAAAGGTTAAAGAATGCGACGTCTCCCCCTTTCCGGTTACCAAATACCGGATCGATCTGTCCAATTTCGAGAAAGTCTCATCAGCAGGACGGAAGGCACTAGCTAGCTCATTGCTACAGTATTTAAAGAAATGCAACATGCTCCTGGTTGCTAGACACAATTAAATGACCAAATCTGAAGAAAGAATTTTTAAAATCTCAGATTTGACCTTGGAGAATTCGGAAAACAGAAACTATTTAAATAAGATACGAGTATATTTAACTGCAATTGAGTTCACCTTGGTGGTAGTAATTTACAAAATAAATATAATATAATACAAATTATAATGGTAATGAAGGTGGCGACGATGACGGGGATGGAAATGGCAATGATGATGGTAACGGTAATGTTGATAATAATGACTTTGATGTTAATGATAATGACGATAATAATCAATATTAACCACCACATAACAACCTCACTCGGTGTACAGCACTGAGTACCGCAGCACTTCACTGCAGTCCTTACTCACTCAAATGATCATCTCGTATCGTTTCTAATATCACTGTAGTTCCTCTCCTGTACCATGATCTTCCGACTCTCTTTTATTTTTTCGACTACTTTTTCAGTTTTTACTTAATTTTCTATAATTACTTGTGAAAGCACTGCAACTACAATGAGTTGCATTTCAATTTTGACTTATAAAAGCGATTCCTTTGTTTCTAATGGGATCTGTACCTATTCTGTTGTGCTTAAGGTAATGAATGCATTGCGTCTCTCCAAAAGGATATAGTCTGTGTTTGTCTTCTGGTAGTTATTCATTTTTCTTATCGTTTTCTTTTTCTCGGGATACGCCAACCGACTTCGCCGTGGCATTCTGCCTTAACACCTTTACAGAAATAATACAATTACAAAGTATGGTATGATACAATCACAAAGTATGTACTCGTACATGAACGCTGAGTTACTTAAACGTACTGACAGTGAGTAATCTCGACAATATTGACCGGGAGAGATGGCCCAGGGCATCAACTGATGTCACTGTAGTGCTCCTGACCGGAAAGTCGTAAGTCGTGAGTTCGAATCCCGACGGTGGCTGTATTTTCGTCACTACCTGATCAGCTAGGTCGAATTCTGTCTCAGCATGGAGGAGAATTCCAGCAGCCGGCTGCTGTGATCGGAAGTTTCCCGTGGTTTCTCCGATCAACACCAGGCGAATGCCGAAGCATTACTCTAACAAACGGGCTACGGACCCCGCGCGATCTTTTCTACCTCTTCCTTGTCTTATCCTCGTCACGCCTAACACACACTTACACTAATATGCGCTACACTGGCACACATGCCGGGAGACCGGTCAGGAGCTTAGAGCTTGTTCCGGCTGGGGCGGTGAACCGCTGGTGGGAGATACGTGGTTGAGGAAAGCCCGCTACCCGAGGTCCGGCGGAGGAAGACGACCGGCACCTCTCAAACATTCACTACACTGACGCGCCCTGTCTCACTAACAAGCAATCAATCATCGAGAATACTGTTTAAAATCAATACGAATCGCACTGAAAAACCTGATGCACACGCTTCGCACAATTTGCTTTTTCAGAACTCACTCTTATTATTTTTGCCTGAAAAATCTGGATTTTCTCTTGCAATTGGGCATTTGATAATTTTATTTGCACTTATTCAACGTTATTTAACATGAATAACAAGTTCGGAACACTGAAATGAAAACGCGTGATACTTAACATAAAAATTCTCACTTTCAGACTCACGAACTTAGTTTAACCCCCGTGTAAATGTTTTACTTCTTAATATTCATGAATAAATTGAGTGAATTACCTTTGCTACAGTGTGAAACAAACATTTCTGTAATTTCAACTACTTTGCAGACTGCGATCGGAAAGTCCTAGGATTGGAGTTCTGTCGGTGAGCGATATCCGGAGCTAGCTATATAACCAGACCGAATTCAGCTGACTGGGGGAGAATTGTAGCGGTCGGCTGCTCTGATCGGTAGTTTCCCATGGTTTCTCCGGCCGATACCTGGCGAATGCCAGAGCGATACCCTAAGAAACGAGCCACGGACCGCGCGCCATTTTTCCTTCTTCTTGTCCTATCCTGTGCTCACACACACACACACACGCACACACACGCACACACACGCACACACACGCACACACACGCACACACACACACACACAGACACACACACGTATATGAACTACACTGTCATACTTTTCGGAAGACCAGTCGGGAGTGAAGAGCGTATCCCATTCGAGATTTGAGGCGGTGCCCCGCTGAGATACATGTGGCGAGGGAAATCCCGCAAACCGATGTGTAGGTCGGAGCACGATCTCGCCATCCAATGGGAGGAAACACCGCTGCTTCCCAGGATAGAACATCCACTGCACTAACGGGACTAATTATCATAGCAGTTAACGTGCTCGGATACAGCAAGCAAGTAATCGAACCTTCAAATTCATCATACTTTTTTTTTTATAAGAAATACCAAGTAGACTTTGCATTAAATCCCCCTCCATTTGGGAAATACTGGTTATTCCACTGAGTGGTGGACATATTATTATTATTTTTGTTATTATTATTGTTATTATTATAGTTATTGTTATTATTATAGTTATTGTTATTGTTATTATTACGTAGCCGAACTGAACAATTTGCTTCATGTGTTAGGAATACGCTGGAGTTGATGTACGGAATTTCACCACAAGCTGGTCCGATGGCTTGGCCTTCAATGCTTTGCTTCATCATTGGAGGCCTCAGTTATTCGACTTCAATAACATTGCTCGCAAGCACCCCAACGCCCGCTTGGAGCACGCCTTCCGCCTCGCGCAGGAGCAACTGGGAATCGAAAGACTGCTGGACCCTGAAGGTACGTTTCTCTCAAATGCCTTCTGGATGTTGTGATATTGGTAAATGAATTGTGTTTTAACTTCAATGTTCCTTTGCAGATGTGAATACTTCAGTACCTGATAAGAAGTCCATAATGATGTATGTAATGTGCCTCTTCCAGTCTCTACCTCATACGGACTTAGAAGTAAGCAGCGTCGATTTGTCTCTTGGTTCGGAGACAAGTTCATTACTATCTCCTGTCGCTGAGGTAACTTTTCCACTTTCTCTTATCATTTTGAATAAACTTATTTAGAAAGAGATTTCACGATGTTTAATTTGAACATCGAGAGTATAATGAATATGTAATTGTGAATTACCGACATGGGCACAGGCGTAAATTTTCCAAAGTGGATATGCTCATCGAACGCCCAGGAAAACTGTTCTCGTTGTCATAATTTTGGGAGTATACAAGTGTGATATTTTTTGATTAGTAACAAAATCAGGAATATGAAAGTTAATTCTGTTTATCATTTGATACGATTTTTATATCATTTAATTCGTAAATAAATTCCATTTTTTCTTAGAAAAGATCTACCATATCTTCGAATTCCTGTGTTTTTAAATTGTCTTGTTAACTTTTACTGGATAGCACATGTAATCTCTCTTCGAGGAGATGTGTTAGGAGCATGTGTATAAATTCTCTCAAATCTCGCAGATAAGCGTTTATTTTTATTTACGTGTGTATTTATTAGAAACTGATAACCGACATTACATGAGAACTACCGATGCTCCTGCCACTAGCTTCTAAATTTTCATTTTTCATTATCTTTGCTTTTTTCTTCTTTGCTTTTCTTACTTTTTTCTTAATTTCTTTGATTTTTTTTCTTCTTTTTTGTATGGTCGCAGCAACTTTATCGGCTTTCTCAGGCTCTAGAATCTGTATATTTACGACTCTACCCGCGGCCACCATCAGTCGCCGTTTAAGAGTCCCTTCTCACGTCCCCATTACACCCCGCAAGTGGCTTCGTTTAAACGGAGGTGTTGCCGCGTGCGGCGGGTCGCGCTGCTGTGGCGCTCCGTGGCGGACTCCCTCACACTCCCGCGGTTGGTGGCGGACTCGCGGCGCTTTATCTGCAGTGGCCCACGTGGGAAGGACCCTAAGGCATCGCCGCGGACTTCTCTGCGGTGTTCAACCGATCCGCTGGGTCACCCCCCCCCTCCACCCCTCCAGCCTTGCGCCGATGGCCCGAGGGCTATCTCGAAGCTCGTTCCTGGTTAAGGGATTCGTTTCTTCAGTAGAGCAACTTACATTACAATACGGGTAAAATTTAGAGATTTTGGAAGAATAAGGGTTGAGAAGTGAAACAAGGGAAATCACTACGCCAAACCATCTACGCTACAAATAAGGAAAAACATTCATGCCTTACTGGGGTTTCGACCTCATGTAGCACTGTTACCCGTTTACTTGGATTCATCTGCTTTAAACTTCTGCACCAGCCTTTTTCGCTTTTGTTTCTTCTCTCTTCTTTACTTTCCTCATCTCTGCTCATAATTTCTCTCCCCTTCTCTCTGTACAACTTATTTTATCTGTTATCTTTCGCTGGATAGAATATAGACTATCATTTTTCTTTAAAGGAGGTCGCTATGCTCGCGTAATTTTTCAATCATAAATATCTGATTTTATTGTGTTCTTTTGGTTTTGTTCTCCACAGGGTATTGGCACTGTACCTGGTTCACGACCTCTCAGTTTAGCAACAAATGTGTCAGTTGAGCTAGGTAGTTATCAAGCAGCTCTTGAAGAAGTTCTTACTTGGCTCTTGGAGGCGGAAGATAAGTTAAATAATACTCCTCCTGTGGAGGGCAACTTAGAGGCTATTAAAGAGCAATTCTATCAGCACGAGGTATATAAAGTTGTCACTGACTTGTTGGAATTATAACAAGTAATTTATAAGATATTCTGAATTATCTATTGCAACGGTTTACATGCGCCTGAAATATATATTTTGTTATCAATAATTGTCATTATTCTTTTCCAATCTCCATTCCATAACAGGACTTTCTCCGAGAACTGGCTGGGCATCAAGAAGGGGTTCGTGCTGTTTTGGAGGAAGGTGCACATATGGTCTCGGAAGGTGGTTTATCTCAGGATGAAGAAGGGGAAGTTAGAGTTCAAATGAGACTTCTGAATTCTAGGTGGGAAGATCTCAGAATCAAAGCCACCAATAAACAGAGCCAGTAAGCTTTTATTTTTAACGTAGCTGTTTGTAATATATTTTTGCTACACTCCTCAAAATGCTTTGTTATTTTAAATTAAAATCTCTCACGTCTCCAGTTGAATACATGATGTTTTTGTATTTTTTATTTTCTAGAATACATGCTCTTTTAAGTGAAAGACAGCAGACACAACTCGATGGATTACGTCGGTGGCTGACAGCAACCGAAGACAGAATGTCTCATTTAGCCGAAGAGGAACAGGCTGGCCTAGGTGGATTGGAAGGATTGAAGCGAAGAATAGAACAGCATCGAGAACTTCAGCAGGATCTTCAAAGACAACAGAGTGTAGTGGATGCACTGAAACATATGATTGTTGTTGTAGACGATTCCTGCCCAGAAAATGGTAAAAATCATTTATGTTCCAATAATTTATTTTATGTTCATTATACAATCCAAAACATAAAGTTTCACTCAAAATGTTTTGAAAGACCGAGAACCGTGGACATAATTTTCATTGCGGATTAGTATTTGGTCTAATTTTGAATAATAATGTTTACAGCGTATTCTCAGTTAGAAGACCAGCTTACTGCTTTGGGTGAGCGATGGGCACATATCTGCCAGTGGGCTAAGGAGCGCTGGAGTCGCTTACAAAACGGTCATTCTGCTTGGATGTCCCTTGCCGACGACTTGGCTAGACTCCAGGCGTGGTTAGATGATCGAGAAACAGCACTGAAACAGATGGAAGCTCAACCCGCGGCTGAAATCGGAGAAGTGCTCGGACGGATTGGCAAGCTTCAGGTTAGTGTTTAAATGGTTTTTATTCGTGTATTCTTTCTCGCATGAATGAAACCAGTTCTTCGAAATTAGATCTTTAAATGAAATACTGTACGATTCCTTTAAAAAAATATTAGTCGTTTTAAAAATGTGTTAGTCAAGTACACACCCCTTTGTGAATTTGGAGGGAAAATCGGAGCGGAGTCGGGAGGAGTCGCCCGTGCTCGGTGGAGCGTCGGGCAAGTGGCTCGAGCAGGTGAAACTAGACATGCCTAGTGTAGAGCGAATCGGCAGTGCCGTTTAGGCGGCTCCTCACTTGCGGTATTCAGCGAAACCCGAGCAACCGCTCGCCGAATCCCGACTAGTGCGGACGAGGTGCTTGCGATTTGCCGAGCACCGAACATTCGGTATTCGCCCTACCTACCCACCGCGTGTCGTTCTTTAGGACACATGAAAGGGAGCGAACATTTGCCGAGCACATCACTGATTGGGCGAACTGTCGCTCGCAACCTGGCGAATGGCGAACGTGTGGAGCCGTCTTTTGAAGAGTGGGCAAGCGAGGGATCTTCAGAAGGGTTTGACGCACGCGGCGTGTGTAGCAGGCCCGACTCCCTGAGCGTTCTCAGGGAGGGGAAGCTGCGAAATGGACGCGACAGACCTTTGGTATTTCATAGTGTCATTTTCTTAATTACGCAAACAATTTAATACTAATTTACGTACAATCATAGATATCTCATGAGTTATTCATGATTGTTAATTTTAAAAAAAAATGTTCTAGCCTCTTTTGTTTTCCAATTCTGTTCCCACGAAGCACACTCCCCGCGCATTGCCCCATACAAAGGCCGGAAAGCGAAAGATAATGTGCCAGGCGCTTCACAACTAAGAGCTGTTTCGCGTTCAAACGCCTCGCACTCCCCTTCCGAAACCACTCCCCTTACCGCTGAGGGACGTCAATCCCCTCGTCGACACATCACAGCTCGCGAGCGGTTTCTGGGCTCACGCGCCGGGCTTACGCACCGGGATCGACCCCGGCCCGACCCCGGCCCGACCCCGGCCCGACCCCGGCCCGACCCCGGCCCGACCCCGGCCCGACCCGTGGAGCCAGGTGGAGTAGACGTAAACGTACGTAGTAAAGAGAAAAAATATTAATGCTGTCGCGAAATTAAGCGGGTTTTCCACGACAAACTATTGTCGGGCCCTGGTAACAAAAAAATCGATGAAACTTTGTTTCTAAGTGCAGAAAGTTCCTTCTTCTAACATGTGTAGTCACAATAGTTTTTTTTGGGTCCTCGATACCGAAAAGTTGGATTACGTCAAATGTCCGGCCATGCTCAACGCTAGCGTCGAATCCCTTTAAATTATTTTCTCCAAAATTGATATTCTGCGATCGATTTCAAAAACATTAATGACATCGATTTTTTTCTTAACAAGGTCATGGAACTTACAATTTTTTGAAAAAGGTAGTAATTTTCGTGTAATTTATGCTTGAAGTAATAGAATTTTTTTTAAATCCTCAAAACGTCTTAAATTTGTTTACTTTCTCCCTACGGAGTAAAGAAAGTTTTGTAATGTGCGAAAAAAGGCAAATTTTAGGCATAAAAACTATTACAGGGCCCTGGTAACGAAAAATTGAATAAATCCAGATGCTAAATTAAAAAAAAGTCTATCATGTGGTATGGCCAGAATCCATGTGTTGTTGGTCCATCCGTTCGTGAACAACGCTAGCGGCTCAGCCTATTTTCTCAAAAATCTGTATTCTTCAATCCATCTGACTGATGTCGCGGCCTCTTGAATTTGAAACAAATTTTAATTTAGGAGGGTAATTTACATGAAGTCCGTGGGCCATTTTCCAAATTTAAGAAAAATTTCTTTATCGTTTTTGTTTAAATTTTGTTGTTGGATAATGTGAACGATGTTTAAGAGAAGGGTAAAAGTGTCATGTTCATTGAAAACCCCGATTTTTTTTCAAAATTGCAAACATTAAAAATTTGTTCGGTGTCTTCCTACAACTAAAATATTAAAGATGTGTATAAGCTATTGACGGTTTCATCCAATTGGGAGCTTGAACGTCACCATAGGAACCTCTGTATGGTGACGTTCAAACTCCCGATTGGATGAAACTGTAAACAGCTGATACCTGTCAGAGAAAGAGTTGAATAAATCGCAGTATAGTTGGATATTTTTTTGTCGGATAGCGTAAAGTAGCGAAAAAATATGTAGGTCTCATTTTGTTTTAACTCTCTGAAATTGCAAAAATTGGGCAAAAGTTTGAAATAATTTGAGAAAGTATGTGCTGTTCGCTCCGCTAGTTTTTTTTAAAACTACCTAACCTTACTTGCATCTTCAAGCACCGGATATCCTTTTGCTTTGCAATAAATGTATTATTTTAGGTACCTTTTCTAAAAATGTTCGTCCATGATCCGCTGTCAGATTTCATCCGACGTTTTGTTGATTTCTTAGGGCTGCATGTCTTTGTTGGGTGTAGCATAAATACAGTAAAAATTTTTTACGGTAAATATATTCCAAATACTTGAAAATTTCCTGCTTGTTTAAGCTAATTTAATTCCGTCGGAATCGAAGTTTGAAGCATGAACTTCCTCAACGCTGCTACTCGCTCCACCAACTTGAGGCACACTGAGAAAGTCAGTGACAACAACGAATTTTCCAGGTTGTTACAGTGTTGGAGCTTGGTTAGGCCATTGATTTCAAATGTCGCCGGTTATAATGAGTTAATCTCGGTGACCCATGATGGGAAACGGGTATGGAGGGAGGGTTGCCAATACGCGGACAACAGGATTCTTTTTCGTGAGTAGGCGAGAAGAAGTAGTAAGGACAAAAATCTATTCCGAAAAATTCCGTAAATTTGTAACTCAGTGCTGCCTGTCGCAAAGCTTCGCACCCAGTCGAAAGGTTCAATGTGGCTCGCGCAAGCACGTTCGTGTTGACGAAGATCGTCGGACAGTATAATGCGATCCGATTGCTCGAATCTGGGAAGATAGCTCTCACAGGAAGGAAAATTTATGTCGCAAGGAGTACTGGAAATCAGAGTATCGAGTCGCCTTTCGAGTCGATCACGTTTTCTATTCCAAGGGATTTCCTTAGTCTTTCTCTCATTTGAGAATATGCGGCATTTGACGACAATTTCCACTGCGTTTCACTATTTTTCCTGTTTGTTTGTCTCAGTTCCTTTTTGGCCTGCCTGTGAATTTTTAAGGAATTTGCGGGAACCCCAGTGCTTAATCGAGTCTCTAACAATCTGTAAAAGCTCTTGTTTTCTTTTGGGTGCAGCGTTGTAAACGTATTCTTCCAAGTCGGCCCTAGGGAGATTGAAATACTTTATTGGTAGTACTGAATATTTGATACATGTTTGAAGGATGGAAATGTTATATTGTTTAGGTTTTGCGAAGAGAAATGGAAGCCCAACAAAAGCGTATTACACATCTTCAAGAGAAAGCATCTTCCTTAGATGGTGGTGGAACAGAACTCTTGGAAAAATTAGAAATACTTCAAGATCGATGGGATGCTTTGGATCAAATAATGGATGTTCAAGGTCAAAGAGTAAGTTACTGCTACAATTTTCGTAGGTCGTAAAATTTGGCGATTTGGTTCCGAAATCGAATACTATGTGGACTCTTGAAATTACTGAAAGTGTAAAAGATTTTATTTATTTTAGATCAACAATTCTGGCTTTGATATGAGCTGGACTCCTCTAGGAGATGATCCTGTTTCTGGCGATCAAATTCTTGATGGTCATTGGGAGCGAACTACTACCATAACTACAGTTACCACCAATGTAGTGTCTAATAACCAAGAGGTACATTTTTGTGTGTGTATATATATATATATATATATATATATATATATATATATATATATATATATATATATATATATATATATATATATATATGTATATTGATGTATATTACTTTTAAAAAAATTTGTTAGGCTATAGTTGAATATGAAATATTTATTAATTTAAAAGTAAATGTGAATGAAAAATTATTTTGCATTGAAATTATTTTTTAATCATGTAAAATAAAAAATTTCTTCAATAAATCATATTGACTATAATTTTTTTATTTACTATTTTTTGTAGATGGTGCAGCACAGTGGGTCTAAAAAGCGTCGGGTAGGTTCAGCCAGTAGACAAGAATTTCAGTCTGCTCTTCAGCAACATCAAGTGTGGTTACAACATGCTGAGGATACTTTACACAAAGGATTTACAGATTTGACAGTAGATGAACAGCAAATACTTCTGGAAGAAGTGACAGCTGAAATGCAAAGCCGCAAACCAGAGAAGCAGAGAGTGCAAACTTTAGGGCAGCAGCTTTTAGATGAACTTATGGCAGGTGAGTTGTGGTTGGTGTTTTGTGGTACTGTGGTTGCATGATTTAGATAGTATTATTAACAGTATGTTTGCTAATGGTGGTGGAATGTTTTGTTGTGCAATTACTGAAAATGTTTGGTAATATTAATGGCTGATGCATGGGTTCAGGGAAATTTTGTTGCACTTTCTTTACTGAAACTACTTGCTTATTGTCTTGGCTGTTTGTGTAGTTATTACAATTATTATGGTCTTTGAAATTTTGGAAAAATTTATTGACAATATATAACAGAATGGTTTACCATTTTTGGATCATGCAAATACAGTGCCCATTAGAAAGTCAAGGGGCAGTCTGATAATCTCCCACTACTTCTTGCAAGACATAAGACATTGTGTGGAGATCCTTGAGAGAGGTGGAAAAGTTTCCCTTGTCAAAAACAGCATTTGTTATAAATGGAGATTTATAATTCTGGAAGTAGTGGTAGGTAATTACTTGCCCCCCTATGACATGCAATGACATTGGTAATTGTAGGCCTTTTTTGGATGGTATTTTCAGAAGGTGAATCTGTCTCTGAGGAAAGAGACCTTCTAACAGAGGTGGAGACTAAATGGAGTGCTTTACAGACCTTGCTCGAAGACCAGCAACGGAAGGTATCCTTTCTTAAAGAGAAGCATCAGTTGGATGCAGAGTTGACTGGCTTGCAGTTGATATTAGATGGTTATCAGAGCTGGCTAGATTCAGCTGTCAAGACCTCAACAACTTCTCCTCCATCATCTCCCACTTCATTGCAGCCTTCAATTACGCAACAGTTAGAACAGTGCAGAGTAAGATTGAGCTACCTACAGTCTTCATTTGCATGTTTTAATTTTAATAATGTAACCTATATATAGATATTTTCTTAATAAAATTTCAGGTACCCTTAATTTGATATTTAAAACTTCATAATAAGAACTTGAAGAATAAGAATTAAATTGTTCCTTTTCCTTTTCAAGATGCATTATATGCTCCAATTTCAAAGAAATGGTATCTTATTTTCAGGGGAGAGGGGTGTAATGCCTTGTAATTATAAGTTGGCATTGCATTTTCTGTTAGAGTTGTTGACCAAGAGCTGCTGTTTTGTAGTTCCATACTTCTAAATTTTGATATTTCTCATTTCAAATTTTCATTTTTACGATTTTGATCCTATTTTTTCTCTTCTTCAGGTGAAACTAAAATCAATGAAATCGCATGAAGAAAGAGTCTCCCGTATGAAAATGAAAGCTTCTGAACTTATTCAAAATGAAGCTGCTGGTTCTGATGCCAAAGACATTGAAGAAGCGAGTAATGCTTTTGTAGAGAAATGGGGAGCTTTGTTATTGAGGTAAGAACAGTTATTTAAAAAAGGGAGAGGGTAAGCTTCTTGAATCTTGGTGAAAGTTAACATTTTGAAAATTTGTGCACTTGGAATGCATTTTTTTTTGTTCTATGTGAATTCTCACGTGACATTAGTGAAAAAAATTAATGCAAAATACATAAAATGGATTGATTTCTTCTATGATCATTTATTATTAAATTTTGCTTCGTACAGGTTAGCTGAGCGACAGACAGAGTTGAGCAATCAGTTGGAAAGAACACCACCTAGAAAATATTTAGAAGCAATGGAAGCTCTTACACAGTGGGTGCATGGTGTGGAAGGACTGTTGCTTTCAGAACATGCTGTGGTGGCAGCAATTCCTGCAATGCAAGATCAGCTGCACAAGTTTCAGGTGTGTTATTAAAGAAAAAATATTGTTTTCATATTAATTCAGATCTTTATATAAAAGAAAATCTTTTTAATTTTTATTTATTTTTTAAAATTTTGATCATTGGTTGCTGTATTGTATTTAGTTGGTTCTGTTCAAAAATCCTATTTTAGCAATTGTAACTTTGATATCGTAGGCTTCCGCGGGTAGAGACATGATCTGGACTGTCTGGGTGAGGTCGCGTTGAAGGCTGAGGTGCCGATGTTTTGACCGACATATCGCGGTCCTCTTCAGTACAGTAGTACAGCCCTGAAGTCCTACAGACCATTGATATGTCGGCTGAAACGTCCGCACCTCAGCCTTGGACTCGGCAGCACCCGGACAGCCTAAATTAACTGTAACTTTCTTGAAATTTTTTTCATATACAAGGATGTTCAAAGGTTTTCTGATTTTAATTAGGAGTTGCAGAAGACAATAGAAGATCAACAACCAAGTTTTCGTTATGTGAGTACCACTGGACAAGAATTAATCTCAAGAGCTGGCAATGAAGCTCATGGTCAACGGCTTAGAGCAGAACTTGCAGAGCTGACTGCTCGATGGAGTGATTTGCCTGTGATTCTGGATGAACGGCAAAAGAAACTTCAGAAAGGTTAAAATGACTTGTCTTTTGGATTTAGAAAACACAAACTAGGTGTCTATATATAACGTATGTAATAGCAACTTTTGCTTTACAGATATTGAAATGCTTCGACAGTTCAATGATGAAGTAGAAGGCCTGAACTCTTGGTTGCAAGAAGTAGAAGCATTCTTAAAAGCAGAAGAACCTCTTCCTGTAGGCGATGTGGATACACTAGAAGCTCAACTTGAACAATCAAATGTAACAGTTTGCTTTTTGTAATTAGAGTTGTACAAACTAGTTTATTTTGAGCTGAATATACAGTTTGAATATAGGTATTTCATTATGTTCTTTAGTAATCCAAGTCTGTTTCTTCACAAACCTTTGATTGCAAATATTTATACTACTTTCATCAATTGAAGGCATTAGTAAGTCCTGGTTTTGCAAGAAACATTAGTGAAATGAGGCACCAATGAAACCATTAAAAAATCTGGAAGGATGCAATGTACTTTAAATTACATTCCAGGATAGCCTTTTCTATGTAAATCTATGAAGAAGATGAATGGATTAAATAAACAATCATACAATTAAAGTGCACACATGGGAAGAAACAACCAGTGTGTGAAAAAGGGGCGTTGATATATTGGGATATGAATTTTGTATAAGAATTGTATAAAGTGCACACATGAAAAAAAAAACCCAAAAACTTTTGTTATTAACTAGATTCAATGTATGAAGTGTGTTTGCAAAGTAAGTACCTTTGTGGAAATAACTAATTACAATTTTTGTTCAAAATAAAATTTATTTTTACATGAAAGAACATTTCTTACACTATTTTTCTACATAGTTGTCACCATTGATCAGACATTTGTCATGACAGGAAACAAACATATCTGTGCTCTCTTCTTAGAATGATGCTGCCACTGAAGACAGGCATTTCTGAACACCAGTTTTGAACACAAAGAATGATTAGCCAGCTAATTCTTTGCCAACTTGTAGAGTTTTATGGTGAAAATGAAATGAATGATAAAATGGTGAAAAAGTGGAGGACACAATTCAATTATAGACTACCCGTTATTCATGATGAAGCACAGGGAGGGCAGACTTCTGTTGTCAGTGATGGGTTAATTACTAGAGTGAAGGAGAACATTAAATAAAATCCAAGGTTCACTATAACAATGTTTGTGATGAATTTTCGCAAATCGCTGCACCATTTTCATCAAAAACAGTGACCAGAAGTGTCGTTGCTGGCAGGATCTTTCAATATAGAAAAGTTGGTTTCCCATTATGACAAATCTCTGAACATTGTGACTATGTAGAAAAATAGTTTAATGAATGCTGTTTCATCTATGAGTAAATTTTCTTTTGGAACAAAAAGAACTGAGAATTTTCCAAAATGGTACTTACTTTCTGAACATTCCTCATAGTTAAAATTGAGCTAACCTGCAATAAATACTAACTTTATTACAAAGAGAAAAATTAGACCAGAGCAACTTTCTGTATTTTCATTACTTCCATTTAGCAGCCTCCAGGTCTATTGATAAGATTTCTGTGGAACCATGTGTAGTCACTTAAAACAGGTTTTACTCTCATGCGATCAAATTTTCCTCTCCTCAGAAATTTGCAAGTTGTTAAAATATTTTGTGGTTTTTGTTTATTAGGCATTGCAAGATGATGTTGAAACTTTACAACCTAATCTCAACAATATAGAAAGTACTGCACAAAAACTTCTGGACAATGCAGACACTAATTTTGCAGAAGAACTGAAAACTCAATTGAATGCAATTAGAGAAAAATGGAAATTGGTTGTCTCTGGTGCCAAACAGCAGAACATTACTCTCAAAACTACTTTAGGAAAGTGCAAGAAGGTGTGTAAAGTTTGTTGGTGAATTGTTCCTCTTCTTCCTTTGCTATTACACCTTACTACTTGTGGTGACCATTCCGATCTCCAATTTAATGTTCTCTAATATTTAAAAGAAGTTTCATTTGTTTGACTTTTGAAATTGTTTTTCATAGGTTTTAGAAGGTGTTGATGAATTCAAGAGCTGGTTGTGCCAATTAGAAACAGAAATTCCTGCAGCTTCATCTGTAACGTCTTCCACTGAACTCTTCCAGTTGAAAGGAAAATATCAAGTGTTGAAGGATAATATTGACAAAAGAACTGAAGAATTTCGAAATTTGAATGAAATGGGTAAATATCAGGTTTTTAAACCACTGTCTTGCTTTAAGTCCTAGCCCTCAATACAATAACCCATAGTTATTGTATTGACTCACAAGCAAAAAATGATTGCTTGCTTACCAAACTATGGTGTACATAATTCAGCTGCCTGCAAAAAATGTACATGTTTTATTGATAATTCAGTGTTCATTTCTTACGAAAGTGGATTTCTGAGACCTTTTACAGCAAAAATAAGAAAAGAAATGTTTTTGATTAATTTTTTCTGTGAGCTTGTCTATGCACTACAAAATAATATATTGACCCTTCTGTACTAAACCTCTTATTGTAACTCAAAGAGAATAAAATTTGCCAAAAAAAGAAAGTATAATGAAAAGGGTGTAAAATTATAAATTGCAGCTTGGAGAAAAAATAACTTTTCGGGGGGGGAGGAGGGGGGGAGAGGATGAAGTGTTGGCTCTCTGATTTTGTACAAGCCTCCTGAGAATTTTTTTTCATTTTTAATTACTTTTGCTGTTTGTTCAAATTAAAATCACAAATTGTCTTATTGACCTCAAAAGTGTCTTGCTGAAGTGATTCAATCTGTTAGCCTGAGCTGTCGCTGTTTCCTTTTTCCTGGAAAAAGAAGTGGCATTGAATTTGCATTCTTGGTCTTCAATATGACACCACGTATGAACATACTCTTCTGTGTATCCACATTTTCTTTCTGGCACTTGTATTTGTAGCCTCTTCTTCTTTAACAACTATTAACTTGTAAGTTGCATCATTTAATGTTTATGTGATTAAGATGTACACTCTGAACTCTTACATCTCTGTTCTTCTGTTCTGTGAGTAGCATGGAGATAGTGACAAAGTTCCCAATGTTTGGAATTTTTTATTGAGAAAAAATATTTTTTAATCATTTGATCAGAATGGTTGAATGTGGAATTTCTATTTTCTTAAAGGTGAATGCCTCACTGGGTAACAAATCATTAGCAATGACCTTTATTTATTTCAAAGATAATATCAAAACATTCCAACTGCCTGCTTTATCTATGAATACATGCTGATCCCGTACATTTTAATGAGATTTTAGGGAAAAAACTGATCTTATATTTGAATAAATACAGTATTTCAAAGTTAAAACTAGTTATTTTAGAGGAAGAAGGTACTACATTTTTACAATTTCTATACTCCAACAAATCCATCATTTCACAAAAGTTTTTTGGACTTTAAAAATAGATAAAATATTAAAAATTGATAAAGATCTAATATAAATTCTATAGTTTGTTCTGAAATATATTGTGTGTTTTAGGTAATGATCTTATGCTAAGTAGTGAGAGCACATCTGTTCAGGAGTTGGCCAGAAAGTTCACTCAACTTAATGCCAAGTGGACTGAAGTCACTGACGGTATATACAATAAACACAAAATTTTGAAAGAAGCATCAGATCAATATGGAGAATTCAGAGGTAAAGATAGTTTTTCTAAAGTGCAGATTTTGAAATGAAGCATTAGAAAATAAAATAATTCTCTCTCTCTTTTTAGCTCTTGTAGCACAAGAGATGGATTGGTTAGACAAATTGCAGAAACGACTCAGAAAGTCACCAAAATCAGCAGCAGATGCAGAAGAGATATCTGAAGAGTTGGATGTGAGTAAATATAACAATTGCATTAAATTTCAATTATACAATAGGAACCAATTAAGAACGTGTGGTGACGGTAAGATTTTAAATGAGTAAATGTTATCTTTGTTAAAGAACCTATTAATACGATACTATACGCATATTTATTTAACTTAATTCACAACTGTGAATAATCTACCTGAGTTGAAGATTTGCTTGTTGATTTCACGTATGTAGTTTTGCCTTACAAGCTTCTCAGTGAAGAATATCGATCATAGCAGTGGTCAGTTTTCAGTGATTTTATTGAATTTAATCTTCACATAATTTCATTTCATTCTTCTGATGTTTCTTTTATATACAGTAAAACTTGCTCAATGGAACAGTGTTTTTTTTTCTATATTACGCAAGATTCTTCTTTTTGCAATTTAATACTGCACAATTTATGTTTGTCAGCACCATGATTTATGTTCACATTAGACAGATTTCCACATTGTACACATTCCGTATTGAGGATGTTTTACTGTATATTAATTTTAAGTGGTCTGGAGTATGATTGTTATAGATTTTGATGAAGATTTGTAGGTGTAGGTGGTTTCAAAGAAAAATTTGTTCAGTTCTGGGTTCACTGATGAAATAGTTATCGAGATACACCAATTTGTTTGACCCTGTATCATGTCATTGTCCAGTACAAGTTCAAGATTTTGGCTATTTTGAGAACTATGCTAGCTTGTTTTACTGCTCTATTCATTGGAACTAAAAGCGTATTTACACTTTCAAATCATGAATATATGTGAAACATTTCATGTAAATAAAAATTAAAGAGAAAAGAAAGATGTCAAATAGTGTGGAAAATAACAAAATTAAATATTGAGATGGAGCCCACTATGTTGTGGACAGCACAATCTCTCTTAAGATTTCTTTGATTACTTCAAAAAATCAAACTATGAAAAATTAAGTGTATGTATTAATTATAACCCAAGCATCATGCGTGATGGAAATAGGGGATCAAGAATCTGATATCCAATACACAATTCATACTAGTGTTCTTGGCAAACCACTGCGGTAAATGTTCAGGTATATGCAGGGTATAACAGGGGCATTGAAAAGACAATGAACAAGTTGTAGTCCTTCAGGAACATTAGATTAAATTGATTTGGGCAGATTTACTGCAATTTATCCACTTCTTATTAATAAAGACACAATTGTTATTTATACCATTGATTGTTTTAGAAAATGTTGTACTAACTAGCTCAGTTTCATTTGTTTGAAAGGAAAAGAAATTGAAATATTATATATTAAAGTTGTCAAAATATCTTGCTTATTCTGCATAGCAACATGATATGGAGACATACAAACCACTGCCTACTATCAAAAAGAATTTTACCTCAAGAAATTTCACCTTTAAAGAAAAGAAACCTTCATTAAAGCTCCTTTGAGAATTGTAAAATTGTTATTCAAAATTACATCAAAATCCATTCTGGGAACTTTTCCAAGATTCTATCACATGATGTGGAATTACACTCGAGTTATCATTTTAGTTAAAAACACTAACTTTTTTTAGGATTTAGAAAATTATATTAGAAATCATCCTGAAGCTCGATTGGCAAAAATCCAAGAGATAGGAAGACGACTTGTTGATGATGCAGTGATGCCAGGAACTGTGCAAGCTGACGTTGAGGCTCTGACTCAACGATGGAGTCAACTTAGTCAGCAGGTATTTGCTGAAGCGATCTAAAAGTTTACCATTTTGATATGAATTGTACGTTTTCAATCTGACTTTTCCATTTCATTGATAATTTTTTAAGAAATCATTTTCTGCTCCTGTATAGTTTCTTTCATTCTTAAGAAATATTTTGATGACTTACTTGATTGTCAAGTGTGGTGGGTACTCCTTCTTTAATTGCTAATGGTGAAATTTTCAAAGCATGTCAGAAGATGTATTTCAAATTGATCTTTGAATATGTCTTGCGTTAAGTTTTCCATTGCATGTAGAAGACTTTCATAATGAATTATCATAATGAATTACTCTCCATTTTGTGAATTCAAGTACTTCATTTGAACTTGACAGAATGCCTGTCTTGTTAACGTTTCGGTAGCATGATAGATACTAAATTCACCTCGTATAACATGCATGTTGGTGATACTGGGATTAGAAACCAAAACATTATTTATATAGATCATCATATGTGTCTTTCTAGTTTGTCTTTCATTGTGAAACTTTAGTTTTGAATGTTTGTCTTGCAGAGTGCTGTCTGTGTTTACGTTCAGATATGATAGTGTCTGCCAATATTGCTTTTGCATAAAATACAGAACATAACACTAATAAGTAGTACATAATGTTAAGGACACTGAAGTATAAAACACATTTGCATATTCTTGCTTGCTTTGTACTATTGATTTAAAATTTACAGAATGCTCAATTTATACTGTCAATTAAATATTTTTAGATTCAAAGTTAACAATTCACATATCTTGCTTAGTTTTCTTGTGTATGTAATTGTTTTTTATGCTCAATGAAAATTCTGATTCTTTTAAGTTGAATTATTGGCATAATTGTTTACCATTTAATTGAACTCCAGGCTATACAACATCTCTTAAGAATGAATGTTGATCAAAGTCCTCATTTTTCTTGCCTGAAAATTTGGCTTTTGCGTGCGGGGCTTGAGTGACCTGCATCCTTCCTGCTTGCTCTCGTAGGCTAGGGAACGGACAGCCTTGCTAGAAGGCTCTGTGCAGGAGGCTCAGGAGTCGGAGAGCCACATCCTGTCCTTCCAGGCCTGGGTCGCGCATGCTGATGCCCTACTAACCGCACGTGTAGAGAACGACCTCACTGCGGACGACCTGCCTGATGATCACCAGGTGTGTGTTATCTCAGAGAAAGAAGCCCTTTATCATACATTATCCATACTGCTTCATGCAGAGGGATATTTTTAAAATGATAACAGTTGATTTATTATAGTTATTTTAAGGTCTTCATTTTTTAAACAGACTGTATTTTAAAATGGACTGTAGTCAGTTTAATTCATTGTCTCTATGAGGTATATTGACTTCTTTTGTTTGTTTTATATACATATTTAATTTTTTATTGGACTTAATTAAAAGCATTGGAAACTTCACCATCCTGAGTGTTTTCTACTCTGGTAAAGTACTCTAGTTCTTTCCTCACAGTGTTCATTCTGTTTCTCTTTACCTCTTTTTTTATGTTTAGATATTTTCTTAAACGTTTGTGCAATTTTATGGTGTATCTTGCTTTCAGACTGTGTTTTTTGTGTGTCTTTTATTTTTTTTTGTGGTTGAGGTGTGCTTTTTAAAATAAGAAATGATGTGATTTTCATAAAATTTTTATCTACTATATTTTCTTATTGTGGAATTATGATACCAGAAAATATGAAAGGAAACATTTTTAAAGACCTCTTTTAAACTTTCATGGAAACAAATATGAAAGGAAGATATTCCACAACATTTTGGGAACTATTAATTAGGTTTTAACCTCTCAGCTAAAGATTCTAAGGAAAAACTTAGTTTGTAATGTTGTCTTGGAGGTTGTGGCAGTCAGAAATACTTTCTTTGTATGAAATATTTAGCGACTCGTGGAAGAATTTGAAACTCAAGAAAGTACTCTTCGTGAAATGGAGGAACAAGTGAAAACTTACGAGGCTGCAGGAAAACATGAAGCTGCTGTGAGACTGCATGAGCAGATGATATTACTACAGGTGAATACCCATTCTTTGGTGTATAACAATGTTCACAGGTTTTAGCAAATGAAATTTTTAATGATAAAAAATTGTACATGATGCTATTGCAGCATTTCTAAGATTAGTATTAAAATAAAGAAATTAGCATTACGAACATGATACTAAATAGTAATATAAATTATTTCAGTTTTTTTAAAGCTTCTTTAATTTATTATCTAGTTTTTAAAGAAGCAAACCTTCTTTGTATCATATTAATACATTATATCACATTTCAGCGGCGATTTGCTGAAGTTCAAGCAAAATTTGAAAGATTTAAATCTCCATCCAATATAGAACCTCGACTTAACAGAGCTATACGCGAATTACACAGTATTGAAGAGGCAAGTTGTCTTCTTGAGCTGGCTTCAGATGATCCTGAGGGAATTGAAGGCCAACTGAAACATTGCTTGGTGTGTGCACTCCTTCTTTTTCATCAATCTCTTATTTTTTTGATGTATTTAAAAAACAAATGTTTCTTCTGAGTTGGGTATTACCGAGGTTTTCTGTGCAGAGGTTCTATCGGATGCTCAGCGATATCAAAGGAGAAGTGGAATGTGTTATAAAAAGTGGACGAAAACTTGTTGAAGACCATGCTGTCTCTGAGCCTGCACAATTCAATGCAAGAATAGATACTTTAAAGGAGCTTTACAACAAAGTGAGATGGAGTTTGTATTAAATGTAGATTACAACTTGTTGATAATTTTCAAATAAAACAATGGTTTTTATTTATTTGTTTTTCTTACATGCTTTATTTATCTTAAGTTACATTTCAAGTAAATATTTGCATATTTTAATACTGGTATATGAAATAATTGACTTCAGGTTTGTTTTGAAGTACCTTTTAAGCAAATGAAGTGAAAGATAGAATGAAATATTCTTCACTTTTCTTTGTAAAAAATGTATTTATTATTTTTTTCAATATATTTGTGTGCAGCTTGGATCTCAAATAACTGATGCAAAAACACAGTTGGACAATGCACTAGAGCTGTCTAGAAGTTTACATAGTAATCTTCCTCAGCTCAGTCATTGGCTTGATGAGTTAGATGCACATTTGGAGGAGTGTGACAAAGCAGAGAGTTCTCAAGATTTGGAAGCTGGCATCACTTACCTTAGAGTAAGTGTTTTAAAAATTTTTTCAACTGAGGTGATACGAGCATTAAAAAGACAAGGCTAATCAAAGAACAATATTTGTTCATTGAAGTATAGTCTGTTATCTAGGTTTTATTGTATTTAGTTTTTATAAACCTTGATCATAGTATAATTAGATAATGAGGAGATTTGTCTTGAAATCAGTAAGAAGCAAAATATCACTTGTGAGAGTACAGCCTTGAAGAAAGCATGGAGTATAATTTGTGTAATAATATGCTTCAAAATTGAGGAATATTGTATTTATAGAAATTATCTTTCATCAATTTGAATAACTTTTTTTACAGTATGAATGATGCATATTTTGAAATAGCTGATCTTTACCCCAGCTGGTTTTTAATAGAGAGAATCCAAGAAAGTGTCAGTATTTATTGCAATATTGTGCAAATGGTGGAGGAAGTATCAACATATGAATAATGAATGAATGAACTAGAGATTTTTATTCATTTAATTTTACCTCAAAAAGTATTGGTTTCCAAAAAGTGAATCATACTTTCCAGAGAGTATTTAACTCTTGTCTCCCTGCTTTGCCTTGCTGTAATTTGCGGTCTCTGCTCCTTGTTGCCCACTTTCGCTATGCATTACCCCTTCTTCCCCTCTCTTGTCAGATTTAATTTTAAACTTTCATCTTCAATATTTCTAGAAGCCTTATTATGTTATTGAAATTAATATAAATGCATTTATTGGAAAATTTTGTGGGTTTTCAGAAAATGTATTTTGGTGTATTTCCTCTCATAAGTTTCAAGATATTTGCAACAAGTGAAAAATTCCACATTTCAATTCTACTTTAAAGAGTGGGGGAAAAGGATAGTACACCTTTATGAAATCCTGTGTGTGAAGTAGCTTTCTGTTGTATTGAAAGACAAATCTACATAATATCTTTACTATATCATGTAAATAACCACATGAGCTTATATAAAGACAGTTATTTGGATATTGCATGTACATTTTATTAATATAGATTGTGGAATTACTTACCACACATTCTTAAATGCTAGAGTTCTATTATATTTTATTTTCATGAGGAAAATTAAATGCGGTGTTTCAGAAGGCTTTGGATGAAGAGATACCACAATGGAACCCTGTGAGAGATGCTGTTAGAAGTGATTACAAGAAGTTCTCTTCATTGTGTGATTCTGTGTATTTGGAAGCTCTAAAAGACAGAGTGTCGGATGTTTTAAAACGTTGGGATAAAGTAGAACCTAGACTTCGTAACGCATTACGTGTTCTTCAGGTACCTTGCTTCTAATTATTGAAATTAAAATCAAATACACTATATATGTTTTTAAAGTAAATATTCAATTTTTAGGACAAGTTGCTGAAAGGTGAAACTTTACACAAAGAATTCACCAACATTTTACATGAAGTGAAAAGTTCTTTACAAGATGCAGAAAGCAAAATAAAAGTATTGGATGCTGTCCCCCCTAATCAACTGTCTGAAAAACATCTTGCAGAATGCAAGGTAATGCCACCAATAATATTGCCAGTTTGAAATGGAATTAATTATTTCTTTTTTTTCTTTAAGTAAACAAGCTCAAGATTTAATAAAAATATATGTATAAAGAAATGTGCTGAGAGGGATAAAAAATTAACAAATGACATATTGAGTGGCAATGCTTGCTAATTTTCACTATAAACAGTTGTTTTTATTGTTAGTAAAAGTTAAGATGAATAACAATACTGGGACATTAGCAGTCACTGACAATAAATTAGTTTTAGTCTGATATTGGCAAATGGAAGATTTATGGATGAGGACCAACTGTTTTTCTAAATTTATGGATAAAATAGAATAGGCCTTCATCCAGCATTAGATAAAAAAGGGTGGCTGCTGCTGATACTTTGATACAGTTTTCAAAAACTTTGTTTATTAATTTCTATTGACATTGATTATTTAACTTTCCAGTCATAATGCTGACTTAGGTCATGTTCATAAACTACATGTGATATTAGTGGGTTTGTTGAAGTGAAGTTATCGATATATTTTAAAATTTATTTTTAAAAGGTCTACTCGATGTTGTATTCAGAGTCCTGTTCTGAACTTTCTTATATAGGCATAATATTCAAAACTCATTGAGAGCAAATTACATAATGAATTAAAAGGGGTATTTTCTTTATAGGCCTTACAAAATGATATGATATTAAGGAAAGGACAATTAGATGAACTTCGAAGTAGTGTGCAACAAATTCATTCATTGGATCCATCTGCTGAAATGCAACTTGCAGATGGTGACAAACAATACAATGAACTTTGGGCTAGAATACAGGTATGTTTATTTTCTGTTTGTCCTTGGCATTGCAATAAGCTATAAGTTTCCTACCATAACTTTCCAAGATAATTTTATATGAAGTTTTGTTACCACAGTTTGGGATAACTTTTTCAATCCTAAAGTTTTAATATGTTTAAGTGTTGTATTTGTTCAATAAATAATTTATACACAGAATGAATTATGTTTTTTCTGCAAATGTTACTCAAATATTCACTAATGTGGCAATATGTTAAATGATCTCTTAAATTATAATCAGTCTACTTCCAAATAAAGTATTACTCAGCTGTTTCTTCGGGAAAACATTCACTTTATTGAGAAAACCCAGTTCATTTTAAATTTTTTTAATGTAAAATATAGAAAAGTTTTTAAGTTATAGAATGATGCATGCAAAATAATTCTGTTAATGTGAAATATACAGTTTGTGTGGCCTATTGTATTGTTTTATCTTTAAGTAGCTTCCTATTGTGGCCAATAAATATCAGATATTGTTGTTTTAAGTTTAGTTATTAAGATAGATGAAGTTAAAGCAGTTGATTTTTTTTACATGGGCTTTTAATTTTTTTGTATCCATACCTGTGTTTTTTGTATTATTTGGGAATATGTTATGTTGTTGAATGTGATGAATGATGTCTCAAAACTCATAAATGACTGATAGATGAATGAAAGTTCAAAGGTGATATAGTTGAGGTGAGGTGGTTTGCTTTGTGGTCTCCATGGTTGAGCACAGAGCCTACGTACTTGGTTCATGTGCGCAGCTTTAGGTGTTTGTGTGCTCTGGTGTGGGATCTATGTGATTCTGGATTAGTCCAAACCAGCTGTAAATAAAAAATACCTTTTGTATCTGTGTTTCATCTGAAAATTGTGAATGCCAAAATGTAACCTCTCTCCCCTGCCTCCAGTAAACATGATAGAAAGAAATTAGAATAGCAAGTAACATATTAATAACACAATAACATTATTTACATATGAAGACTTAAACTAATATGTACTGAGCACTGCCAATATCATTCCTTAAGGCACTGAGGGTCATGGGTTCTATCCTGGAGCAAGTATTACTTAACCAGGAATATACTATTGTAGCTATCATTAGTTGCATCATGTAAGGATATGTTATTGCCAAAAGTGAGTGAATAAAGTATTTTATGCTTTCTGTTGTGTGCTTGTAATCCTTTGCCTCCTATGCTGTGACAAGCCTATTCTACATGCAGCATGATCACCGATGCCAGACTCGCCATTGTCGCACGGCCTGGTGATGGAAGATGCTCATCCTGTTTCCTCTTGCTGCTTGGTGATTGCATGCTTTTAGAAGTAGCCCAGCACTGACTTGAAAGATTTGCTACTTTTCTTGTTGAAGGATGTTTTTAACTTACTAATAGAAACCATAAAAACGAATGTATCCTATCATGCATAACAAAATTGCACTAAACCATTCTAAATATACTAAACAGACATACTATTGTAGTTGAGGCAAGCATTGCTTTTTGGAAGAATGCTAAAGCAAGCTTGGGCCCTTATTTTCCAGAATTGGAGTGACAAGGCCACAATATTGGCCAAGGGTCATCCTGAAACCAGCAGAGCTCTTGATGCTACTAAAACACAATCACTGCCATCTTTGCCACCACCTACACCGTCACGAACACCACGAGGAGGTTCAAGGGGGAGAGAGGAGGAACAGATTTGTAACAAAACAGAGCTCACAACATCTCTCTCTTCCAAAGAAGCGTCCGATCAACCACAACAAACTTCTAATGTTTCGAGTTCAGAGCAAATGGAAATAGATGGTGTTGGGTACTCCAATCCTGCATTTGATGATTCTGTTCTTGCTACAACTAAACTGGATTCAGAAGGGGAAGAAATTACCTGTATAAGTCGTACAGTGAAACGCAAAGTGGACATTGGAGTAGTTCCTGATTTAGTGCCTTCTGTGAAAACCACGGAATCACTTTGGGGGCAAATTCAGCCCCAGGTGAAGGGTGAAGATGATAGCACTTTTCGACTGGCTGAAGATAGCGTGTTATTTTCTCAAGTTTCTTCCAACACACTTGTGCCACAGACAACAAAATTTGAGGAACACTTAAGAGAGATGCCTCAGTCACGGATTCAGTCATCATTACAAGATGATTCTTGTCGAGTGGTAGAGATAAGAGAAATGGAAATAGTGAAACATGCTGTATATCCTAGGCAAAGCACTGATGCCACCATTCACTACGTCTCAGACACTGTAGAAATGGTGGAAATAGAAGATACTGAGACAGAACCTGAGTCTGCCACAGAGACAGACTCTGAAGATAAGAAAAGCAAGACGGATGATACTAAAGATAGCCAGAGTAGGAAACGAGATGAAGTGGATGATCCTTCTTATGATACAGTAATACCAAATAAGCGACTTGCTAAAAAATCTCCCACTCCTCAAAAGAAAGAAACTGATGAAGAAATAATTCGGGTGAGTCCATCTACCAAAGTTGATGTGCCAATTTATCCTTCTACTCCTGCTAGTATTGAGAACTTGCTTAATGAAACGGCTGACACACTTACTCGTGCTGAACCCCGCAAACTGATTCTGGCTAGCCCTGTTGCAGAGAAGTTGGTCACCCCTACTCCACCTCCTACCCCAACTGCATGTGCGAGTGATGCTCCTCCTCCCTCTTTGTGCCTTCAGATGACAGATCGCGTTAATAAAACTGAGCAGATGACTGTCACTGCATGGCGTGATGCTGAGTGTACTTCTAACACATGCATGCCAGTTGCTCCAAGGCGTCGGTCATTGGAAGAAGAAAATAGAAGTAAATCTTCTGAGGTAATTTTGAAGAAAGAAATAGAAGTATCTAAAACCTACAAAATAATTGGTAATATTAGTGATCTGCAAACACAATCTTTACCTACTGAAAAAATGATTGAAGAATATGAAAGCTTTTATGGTAGTGACAAGGAGACTGACGATGTAGTGGAGTTCTCAGATGATGGTGTGTCTCCTTTGGAACTCGTCAATGACTCTTCGAGTTCGGAAGATGATGAAGGCCCATCTGTTATGAGTCATCTATTATCTCAACAGTTGGACAAGGTGGGTGATAGAGACAAAGAAGTGTAGGATATTACTTTAATTCTTTTGAGGTAAGTAAAGTGCTATACAGGGTGTACCATTTATCATGCAAACCAGTTGGTGCAGTGGTGCAAGACAAATGGTGGTCAATGTTATTGTTGAGTGGGATGCTGCTTGTCACAATGAAAAGGTCATTGTGTCCTTGAAGGCAAAAGATATGTTCTGTTTGAGATGAATTGAAGATCGTCTTGGCTATTAAATATTTCACATATTAACTCACATTGCTTGCTCAAGTTTCGTCAATTACAAGTTGACCTCTTCAGAGCTTTTAACCAAATTTGAAAAACATGTTGGCAATAATGTTCCATTACTTTTATGTGATTGTGATCACATTCACATGCAAAAAATTTAATATATTACAATGAAGTTAATTGTCATCAAATTTTAGTATCCAATTCTTACAGGCAATGTATATTATTCCATGCTCTGAGTAGCAACTGTAGTAGTCATATCTGTTATCTACAGAATTGAAAGTAAACTTTCAGCTTAGTGTATTTGAAAATAACCTGAATGAAGGATGCTTCGGTTGGTAATGTCCAGCAAAAGAGTTCACAGCTCATGCTGTTATCAGTGCCTCCTGTGAGTGACAAGGTACAACTTCTTCCCATTCAGTATGCCAATTGTGTGTGCAATATCAGTGTACGTGGGTGGATTGAATAATAAATGGTACACTCTGTGGTTTCCAGTTATAAGCATATGAGTATGCTTCAGATGGTTGTATTTGTTATGTACATTAATATTTGATGTATTTTACAGAGGTTGTTTACTAACAATATTTCTGATTTAAATATTATTTGATGACTTATCTTTGCTTTTATTAATTTAATCTCTGTCACAAATTGATTTGGAGGAACAAATATTTTTAAGATTCTAGTTTAATTTTCTTGCTAATGATAACGCATAAGTTTCTATAGAACATTTTCTGAAGTTATTTATTTCCTCTTTTTGGTTTATGTTAAATTGGTCCAAATCAATTTTCCTCCTTGCAATCAAGAATTTCTTGCGATGATAGATCTCTAAAGTGACTAGAGATCTAGAGATCTTTAGTGGAACTGTAATTTTGAGTATTATTTGCTTGAATATTTATTTGCATAGTTTGTCTCCCATATTCTAAATACCTAAGTGAACTATTTATCTCTCAACAGAAGTATAGGAATGGGTTTTCATTGGGGAAGAGGGGAGAATAAAAGAAAAATTTAAATAACATTTTTATATTCTTTTAATTTTCTGTATTAATGGGAGGGAATATTACATGCACAACTATTGGTTGTTGGAAAACAGATTTAATTCAGAAATTTAGTTAAGAACATTATTACATTTTATTTTATTTGAATATATGTTATACATATTATATATTGTCATTAATGTTCAAAAAACACCTTTCAATATTTAATTATTACAATGTAATGAACATTTTAAAATATTTGATGTTACTTAGTAGCAAAAATTCCCACACCACTGTCTGCATTTAAGAAGTTTTGTGAAAATGACTATGAAATTTTTGGTAATATGTAATATACGCATGTAATAATAGAAAATATTCCTTCCCAATTCCTTAATTATGGGTAGAGAGTGGGCAATGGACCTGGAAACATTGAACAATGAGGGGTGCAGGAACTGCAAGAAGCTGGGAAAATGATAGGTCTGCAATTGTTTTGTAAATATTTTTTAACTACTTGTAGTTTTGCTATCAGCTAATGGCAGAAATCAATTACAATACTAAGAATTAGAATATTTCCCAAGTAACAAGTTGCACATATCACATCACATATAGAGCAACTCACCATCTGCAACCATATTTCAGGGACAAAGTTTTCCAATGTGTTTATTGTGAGAATGCAATATGTTTTTGGGCTTGAATGGTAAAATTATTTTGCTGGTATTTCCAAAAAGGTTGTTAGCATTTTCTTTTGCATCAGATCAAGATGTCACAAAACTGAAAGTGATCCCCCATTTTTTATTATCAGTTCGTATTTTAGTTATTTATTTACCTTCAAAATTATTGTAATGTAGAAGTATCGCAACTTTTCTAATCATTATGTAATTTTGAATTGAATACAGTTTTGCATTTCACTTTTTGCACTTTAAATTATTTATCATCATATATACTAGTATCAAATCACTTGAAATTGTATTGGAAAGTGATAAATAATACTCAGTTAAACTGTACGAATCAGCTGAAAACATAAGGGAAAGGGTTTATAGCAGATTCTTGAATTTATACATTCTGTTGCTGAATAATTATAAATGTGGAATAAATAGAAGAAAGTGAATTTCAAAAGACCAGATTACTGGTCACTCTAATTATTACCATTGAGTCTCATGTCTGCACATATGAACCAATCACAATTCAAGGTGAAATATGATTTAAAAATCTAGATATTTTGATGCATTTTTACTTGAAGTTTAGATTCCCAAATTCATTTTCTATTTTATATTTTAATGATATTATTTTAAGATTTCATAGTGTACAGCTACATTGACCTTCTGTAAGGAAGATACTTCACAAATTGAAGAAAGTAATTATCTTTGAAAAAGTGATACTGATAATGTACTTGACATTGCACAAATGTCTATTCTATGTAAGTTTTCGTTACAGAAGAGAGGATTATCTTAAACAGACAAATTCTTTGTGATTTATCGGTTTTTCATATTATTGTAGCTCCTTTTTTAGAATCTTTTATCAGGTAGCTCTGTTATATATTGATAGTGTTCTCTAGAAGCATCATACTTTCATCGAAAATAATTTTACAACTCCATATAATTTGATTGAAATTCACAAGAAAGGAATCTTATAGTGCTATGTTCATGGTTTTTAGGGAGTACAACTGCCATTTGTAACCTCTTGTAGTGTGAAAGAATAACAATTTGTTATAAACCATGAATGAGCTAAAGAATAACTTGTAGGACATTTTGTGTCAGTATAATAAAAGTATTAAAAATAATTTTAAAAATTTAAAAGAAAATAGAATTGAATAAAATATAAATTTTGCAGGCCTTACTTTCGTCAAGAAAGGAAGCTTTTGCCGGCAAGAAGGAAGATAAACTCCAAGGATCCGTGAAGTCTCCTGTCGCTGCGACAAGAATTCCTATTCGAACTGTGCCTGCATCAAATAAACCCATAACATCCTCTGTGGCAGTTGCTACCAGTGCAACTATGTCTTCCTTTCCGGCGAAGGCTACTCCACAGGCAGCTCCGAGAAGCTCTAGCTCAATTTTGCGGGGCACTGTGCCTCCTCTCTTAGAGAGAGAAATTTTGGAGTTCGAGCAGGCTGCTCAGCAGATGCTTCGACGCATGGATGTGATGTTGGTCACTGTCAAGGGAGTTAGTGATGAGAAAGATCCTGTTAAGAGGCTAGAGGTAAAATTTGTGATTAAAGTTGATTAAGTAATTTATTTTGAAGTGATTTGGAAAAAATGTCTGCCATATCTGTATTCATAGGTACTTGACCGAGAAATGAGCTTCCTTGCTCCTGATGCTGCTACACTAATAAGCCGTGGGGATGGTTTAGTTCTAACCGTTCATTCAAGTGATCCTGTAAGAGCAGACAGGTTAAAAGAATCATCTCAAGATAGATTGCGTAGTAAGTGGCATCAAGTGAAGACTGAGACTGAGGTATGTTGAATTTTTGGTTAGAGAAGAGTTTAAGAATAATACATGAGAAGAAATGTGTGCAAAAACTGATAGATAATTTACATTTTCAGTTGAGAAAACATCAAGCTCAACAAGCAGAAGAAAAATTGAGGGAATTTAATTATTCTGTCTCAGCTTTGGAACCCTGGTTAAGAGATGCCCGCCGACGTCTTGAATTAGCTAACAATGATGAAGGGCAGTTACAGGTAAGGTAGTGAAAACTTTGGGTTCAGTACACATGTGTAAAGGTAATTAACAACTTGTTGTTAGAAGAGAAAGTGGAAAGTTCTTTATGAAGGTACAACTAAACCAGGAAGTGTCTGTGCATGTTGGACAGATTCACGTTTCAGTGTGTTCTTTACAGCAGTTGCAAGAGGAGTTCGAACAGAAGCAGAAAGAATTTTCAGAGCTAGCAGAGCAATCTGCAGAACTTGCAGCACTCAATGTAAGGCACGGTGAAGCATCTGTACATGACATTCAGACTCGATGGCAGGATGTTCATGATAGATTTCAACATTTCAAAAAAGAAGGTCTTGACAAAACAAAGGTGGTGCCTGATACTAAAAGTACAATGGTAAATGTATATTTTTAATCTCGATCATAATATGAGGGTTCTTGCAGATTTACTTGTTCATTAAATTTCTATGAATAGTTGTTAGCTTTGTCTGACAAATGTATTCAAAATTTAAGTGTTATAAGTGGACTGGAAAGTACGCTAATTTAATAGTCATTTACAGTTGAGTTCTCTTACCAATTATTTTGCTTTTAAAGGATACAAATGGAACTCAAACAGCAGATTTTGTGACACGAGTCAATAAGGTGCGTGAAGCAGTGTCAACAATATCTCGCCAACTGAATTCATTTCCTTTGAGTGGAAGAGATTATGATGGATATCAACAACAAGAAGAGTACCTCAAGGTATGATGTACAGTTAAGCTGTTGCATTTTCTTTGTTTAAAGTCCTTGTGAATAAATGCTTTAAATTTTATGATACTTTCATTTGTTTGTTAGAGAGTGAAAGAAGGAGTAGCTGCCCTAAAACCAAGTGTTGATGACATCGAGTACAATCGTGATGGAATTATGCGTCGGTGCAGACGTGAACAAGGTGATCAAGTCCGTCGGGTGGTTGATAAATTGAGGGAAGAATGGGCTCAGGCTAATCGAGCCTATACTGAAAGACACAAGTGAGTTAAAATTAGTTGTCAAAATAAGTTGTATTTTTCTTCCCTTTAAAAAAAAGAAAATTTTACTAATATTGTACATTTTTTTAGTCGTTGGCTCAAATGCAGAGATACTTGGGTTAGTTTACACAGTAATTGTCAATCTTTTGATGACTGGCTAACCAATGCAGAATCCATGATAACTGAATGGCGTAGCTGTGATTTTCCTTTGGCGGAAGCAAAAATAAAACAAAAGGAGCTTGAGAAGCAAGTCACTATGCGCACAAGGTATGAAATGTTAATCAGCTTGAATGTTAAACATTTTATTACCTAAGTATTTGTATGTGAGTGTTTCATATGAACATAAATAAATAGAACACAAAAACTTTGATAAAACAGAAAAACTAGATTTTCTGTTTTATCAAAGTTGTGAATTTAGAATAAATTTGTGAAACAAATGGGTAATGTTTAAAATTATTTACAGAACCATGTCAAATATGAACATGGCATGTCGGGAGATAGTTGGTCGTTCACAATCACCTGAGAGCACAATGGTTCAAGAACGAGTGAATGAACTCAGAGGTCGCTGGCAAGTTGTTCTGGCTGAACTTACAACTAGGAGAGACAAGTGAGTCACCACAAAGTTGACAAGGTCCAGCCGGTTGTAAGCATCAAGTTCCCCTGTATCTTAAATGATGTCCCCTAACTCTCCCAAAAAAGCAGCATACATTTGTTTTATTACTCTCTTGACCTTCATGTTTTTTGTGCTCATTCCAGGATGTCTTTTTTGTCCCACTTGTAGTAACAGATGCCAACAGCTGCTGGTGTTTGTATCTGTATACACATATAAGAGCTTGCTGGCTGTGAAGAGAATGTTGAAACAAGAGAGAGTGAATGCTAAGTAGAGGGAAGGGTGCCAAGTACGGCTGGGAGAGTAAACTTAATAATTTTCATTCGTGATATAATGGTTAGGTTACAGTGTGTGTGTGAGTGCTAATATAGGAAATTATATTTGAAAAGTTGTTCTAGATTTTCTAAGGGTGATATTCAAAGCATTTTTTGATAGTGTGATAGTCTGAATGTTTTTCAACTGTGATGTGCAAAAGGGAAATAACTTTAAATGTTGTGTGGAAAATTCACTTCAGTGTATTTTTTTTTTTTTTATGTGAAAATAGGCTTGCGGCAATGGAAGCAGCTCAGTCAGTTCCAACTCCCCTGACATCTCCACCTGTTAGGACAAAATCACCCGACCCTACTAGTCTCTTGGACAATATTCAGAATTCCCTGGATCATATCAAGACACTGTTAGCATCTACAGCTAACCCCTCTGATGACACATCACTTGCAGTTCGTCTCAGCATGGTCAAGGTGAGATCTATTTTCATTGCAAGGTGTTTTTTTTTGTGTATAAAACAGAGTTCTCACTGTGAATAAACCATAGTTGAATAGTGCAATATTGTAAGTGTGGATTTAATGACACGAAGAAAATAGAAATGTGATAAATATATTGATATACGCTACAAAACAAACACTGTATATAGTGAAGAAGTGTTCAATGAAATTATTTTGCATTTATTGTCATAATCATTATCATGCATTGTGCTGTAAGTGTCTTCTGAAGAGATGTGATCATCTCTGTCTGACATTTTTAATTTTGCATGTTTCGTGGTATCAGATTCTGTGTGTTGGGTCATCTGTTGCCACAATGCAATCTGGCAACAACAAAAGGCATTATTTTGAGCAGGAATGTCCTATTTAAATTTTGTTTGGATACTTCATGTTGGTTGGAGGTTCTTTTGTGTGATGTACAAGGAAAACATGAATTGAAATTGAAACTTTTGAGCTAATTCACTCAAACTAGTAGAAATTGTTTTAAAATGTGAATGACATGATACATGATAAAAACTAAAAACAAAATGATTAAACTGATTAAAGGATAAAGCTCTCTCTCTCCTGTGGAGAATGGCATTTTTGATTAATTGTGTAACAAAAGTTATTGTTCAGAATATGTAATATAGATGAAAGTAATGATCATTTGAGGTTGTTTTTGATTTTAGAATGTAATTTTAGTTTACTTTAAAAACTTTTCTTAAAGAACAACTTGTCACAATAAGTAGCAAAATTACACAAGAGAAAACATTAAAAAATATTACAAAGTAAAAGGGAAAATTTAATGTTTATGGTAATATGGAGTTGTGTATTTTACATTAACTTTTTTTGCTTAGTAGCACTAATTTAAATTTATATTCTGTTATTTAAAGAGAGATGATTCTAATTCTTTTTATTATTTAATGTAGTATCAAATAAAAAACAACAAGTAGTTGTTTTCTTTTATAAACTTCCAAATTGTTTATATTTGTTATAGATACCAATCTCTTTTGATCTGGATATTTCCTCCCTATTAAGAAGAGAGAATTCGTAGTTTCTTAGTTCCCTGCCAGCATTTAAGTATAAATAGAGCACTGTGATCACAGAAACAGATGCCTTTTCTTTTTCTTTTTATATTCTTCCAGGGAGGGGAGAGAGAAGGAGATTTGAGGAAGAGTGTTGAGGGAAGGGGGGAGAGTAGCGTGTGTTTGTTTGTGGTTCTTGGAGAGTACATGTGGTCGTGTGGAGAAGTTGGTGTACGGCTGCAGTTTCTGCTTCATTGAGATACCTGTAGGAGGAATGATGATCAAGTTTCATGAAAGCCTTTGATAAATTTAATACTTTATCATCATTTAATATTAAAACTTAATGTTTTTTTAAAGATATCCATATCAGTTATATGGTTACATTCCCAAGGAAATGTTGATTTTTTCTGTAGTTCTCTGCCCTTTCTAATTAGTTTTACAAAATCTTTATCACTTGGTACTGTGAACAAAATTCAGTGTGTTACTTTAAATTTAGTATACCAAGTGAAGACTTTGTCTTTGTGGGTAGGCCCGTGAAGAAGAACTTCAAACTAAGAAGAAGGAGCTTGAGACTATGAAAAAGACTAACCAAAATTTAAGTGCTGAACAGACTAAGAATTTGACTTCTGCTATGGACAGAGTAAGTAGCACTAGAATAATGCAAATTAACAATTGAATTTTAATACTTGTTTTTGAAAATCAGTGCATATTATGATACAATTATTTATCAATTCAATTGTATTATTTTTAACATTTTTTTATAGATATCACAAGGTCTTTGTGATCATAGAGAGTATGTTGAATGTAAATTGGCATCTTTGAAACGATACACATTGTCATTAGATGCAATAATAGCTTGGGTGATGGAAACAAAGACAAGAATTAATATTAGCAAAGAGCTTCCAGACAGAGATAAAAGACGTGTTATTGACAATATTATGGTGAGTTCCTTGGGCTATCCCAAAGATAAAAACTCTTATCAGGAAAAATTATGATTTGTCTATTACAATTCCAAATTATTTTGTTCTTTCTTTTATTCATTGTATTTACCAATTCAAAATATTTTGCATTACAGAATTCTGTATATGACAGAGAGATGGAAGTGAAAGAAGTATTGGAAAATTACAATAATCTGGAAAAGGAATGTGAAGGTGCTAGACAGCCTGTATCTGTTGAACTTCAGGTATATGAACATTCATATTCATTAAAATAGATCTCAATATTTGAGAATAATAATTAAATTATTAACACATTTAAAAAAAATTCTGTTGTGTAGTGATTTTATTTAAAATATACTCTTTCTTGTGCATTCTATTTCTGAAACATTATTTAAGATATTAAAATTTATATTGATGGATAATTTTGATCTATTCGATGCAGGAGAAGGTCAAGAAACTGCGAGAAGACTGGCATTACGTGAAAAGCAGGGGAGAGGTACCCATAACCGCCCAAGAATCAATTGTCACACCATCTATCAAAACAGTTACATCTCCACCACTGAGATCTTCTCCACTAGTTACTTCAAATATCAGCTCTGTGAAACCTGTCAGTTCATCACCATCAGTTCATGCTGGTGAGTTTTTTTTTTAAAAAACCTTTCTTACAGAATATTCTAGACTTCCCAGAACAACCCTTCAATGCTCGTTTTGTCTGTTTTTCTCTTTTTATTACATTGTGACCCTTCCCACAAAACTAAGTTGGAAAATTATATAATTGAATAATCTCTGTCCTTAAATAGCATCTGTACCTTTATTCTACGGAAAGGTATCTAAAAACACCTTTTTGCCCTATTACTGCAAAAAATAGTTCAATAATTTATTACATTGTTCATGTTGGAACTCAATCCCACATCTGCAATAAAAAAACAACAACTTAAGTTACCTTTTGCTCTTACACCAATCAGGACTGCAACTTTCATCCGCATCATACTTTCTGTTGCACAGTTACCAATTTGTTCTAGTTCTTCTATAACACATAACTTCTCTTATGCGTGCATCTAGTGCACCTCATTAAACGCTTACTACTAACCTCTCGTTGTCACGTAACCATGTGCAACACTCTTAAAGTTCCTTGACATGAATACCTGCACCCTAATTTCCAACTACTGACTTTTGAAAAAAATATTTGGGAATTATTTGAGTACATATGGTATGTTCATCTTACTGGATGATGAAATTACTTGCTGCCTTTCAGTTCCTCTTTTAACAATTTAAGTTGTAGATTTCAGAATATATTGTGGAGGTGTGGTATACAGATGTAAGCAAATGTCTGTGGTTGCAGATCTGAGAGTCTGAAAGGGGATTTCAGTTTGGAACCCTCCTCCTGAAAAATTTAAATATAGAAAAATTTAAAAAAATATTAGCTTGAATAAAAAAAGTGTTTATTATATGCGTAGTCCTAAGAGAAGGGTTGTGATGAATATATGATAATTGTCTTGACTCTATTGATTAAAAATAGGAAAAGCTAGTAGCCTGATGAAGCAAAATTGCTGCTGAACAAAACTACCAAAAATGATTATTTTTCCAAAAAGTATTATGTACACTATTCAAGAATAACAAATAAAACACTCTAAAAATTTGAATTAAAAAAAAATCTTCACAAATACTGCAATAACATTGTACAGTATGCCCAGATAAACAATGCAACCATTCTTTACATATCAGTTATATAACAAAAGTTGCACATCAATCACACAACACTTGAATAACATTTAATGGCAAGCTGTCTCTTCCTTGGAGTCTTGTTGTCACCTAACATCTATTGTGTCGTTAGCAGTGACGGAGTCACATAACATGAGAATTCAGTCTGTACGCTACTACATGAACAAGTGGAATAATATACAAATATTTCATTTTTGAGTCAATATTGAAACTGTTTCATTGCTTTCGGATTTTTTCCCTGGGTTCCAGGATACTACGAAACTACAAACACCTCTTCAAACGGCAGGAGGTTCAATGATTTTCTTTCAATTTCTATGTGCATTGAAAATTAGTATTATAGATGATGGATTTGGTTTTGTCTCTGAGAGAGCTATATTATGTGTAAAATGGCATGGTACAAGCTTTATTTTTGTGAACATGTTTATAAAATTATTCAGTCATTGGAAACTGCCATATTTATTGTTTGTGTAAAAACGGGCCGATAACCATTTTCTATCACCAATAGCATACTTTCTCACTAACCCAGAGCCAGGATTTTCTTTCGGCTGGGGCTCAAATATTTTCAGGGGAATTCCTTGGTAAAGTTATAAAAGATCTCCATATTTGTTAATTTTCAAACTTTCATAGTGTCCCTCATATACATGTTTTAATCAGAATTTACAAAGAACAAAAAGTCCTTGGATGTATTGCAACTTCAAAAGTCACTAAAAACTGCATGAACTTCATATAAAGTATTGAACCGAAAGCCAGGATATGCGAAGGAGGACTGTTGCGTAGACAAATGAGCCATTTGAGCTGAACTGTCACAGCGTAATGTGACGATTACGAGAACCGTCGAAAGATTATTACGTAGGATGGAATGGGACATCTTTCGTGTCATTCTTTATAAATGTTTTTTTATAGTTCTCCAAACTCTTATTCCAAATATTTCAACAATTTCAAGACTTCATTATTAATTAATTTAAACGATTCATTATGCAAGAAATTCAAATATTTAAACTGTTTAAAACGTGCATTTAAACATTTTTGTATAATTGTTACAGTTTAACAAAGTCCGAAGTTTTTGGGGGAGGGAAGGCAACCTTCCCCTCTTAAGTTGCGCTTTTGCTTCCTAGCACTAAAAAATTTGCATATAAGAATTTTGAATGATACTGTGCGGTAAAATTGGTATAGGATTCGCGCATCCGGCCTGCTCTGCGAGTTCTTTAAAATTCCCACAGAGCGAAGCACAGGTTAGCCAATCGTAGGAATGCTGTATTATGGGCGAAGCGAACACGTTGTTTCACGAAAACAATTATTTAAAACATCTGTCGGTGACTGAAACTAATTAATCCCTCTGTAAATAAGTGCCTCTGGATGTCACCATTCAAAGTAATCTGACGTGCCCCGCTGTAGGAAGATATTAAATCAACAGCAATCACTTTTCAATACTGCAATACAAGAAGTGCGGCAGTAGACAGGAGTGTGTTTCGGGTGTGATCAAAATGTGACTTTCGGAAAAGCTCATGTCGTGAAAGTAAATTCCCAGTATTTCTGTAATTTATCTGCTTAGTGCCAATTCTCTGTTCATTTTGTATTCTATAAATCCGTAATGGCTTCTCAATCAGAAAACTACTTGCCTGAATTTGTGTAGGTGTTCTTAATGCAAGATGTAACAGTATTTTTCATCATTTTACCAATATTTGGGCATGATATATCCTTGGAGATTGGGATGTTCCGAACTTGAGATACGGTGTCGATCTACACGTTGGTTTGTGGCGTTCCCTCCTCAAGGTATTTCCCTCAGTGGGGCACGCACCAGCCACAACAAGATCTTCGTTCCGGACTAATCTCTCGACATGTGTGGTAGTGATGTGCCCGAGTCTAATGTGAGCAAGAAAGGGTTTAGGATAGACCAAGGTAGAGGTAGGAAAGATCGCACGTGGTTGGTTTATGGCCCGTTTGACAGGGTACAGCCCTGTCATTCGTCTAGTGTTGGTCGAAGAAGCCACGAAAAGCTACCGATCAGCGCAGCCGGCCGCTAGAATTCTCCTGCAGTCAGGTTGAATTGGTAGCAAGTGCGAAGCTCGAGTCGAAAACCCGCCATCGGCTGAGCTGGAACCTTGGGACCTCCAGGTGATCGATGCTGCGGTGGCAACGGTTTCCACTGAGCCATCGCAGCCGGGAGGGAGTCTGATCGCATCGGAGGGAAGTGTAATTTAAAATGCCCTTAATCGACTTCCTTGTTTGCTCGCCGCGCGGGCTCGTTGATCTGGTGGGCAGCGCGCAATTGGCCTGTGGGGAGGGGGCGCGGCGGGTCGTTTGAATAACAAAGGACACGGGACGCGCGCTGTGGGGACGCGGTGACGCTAGGGAGAGCTCTGAGCACGCGCAGGCAGCGCGGCGTTTAATATTTTTTCCTCCAGCATTTTCTTCCTTCCGTTTCCACGAGTAATACGATTTTGTCTGGAATGTGTTGTCTCGAATGAGGATTCTTGTGGTGTGCGTGCGCTAGAATGCAGGGCATTTAGCCCTTGGAGACTCCGAGATTCACAGCCCTAAGCAGTGCCCTTGACAGTGCCTCATAGATATGCCATCTGTCGAGCAGTTTCATACAAAAAAATGTGCACCGGAAGTGTCAACAGTCACCGTAGTGAGGTGGAAAATCGAAATCGTACATGTAAAACAATTTTAACGTTTACAGTTTTGCAATTCAGAAAATAAAGTAACATCGAATCAAAAGTAAAATGATTAATCACAACGTAAAATATAATTTTTTGTAAATAAAATTTTAGTTGTAGCTATTATCAGTTATTATATTACGTTGATGTACTTATTGCAATATTTGTATGCTATAATTGTATTGCGTAATTTTAAATGGTTAAAATTTATTTTTCAAAGTAATTTATTATCTATCTACTCGAGAGGGATGGAGTTGGATTTTTTTGCCTCGAGGATTGCTAACAGAGCTGGTTTTATCACCACTACTGGAAAGGTCACGCACATGATCTATATTACTTGAAAATGGTTGTAGGTGAGTGTGCAAAGTAAATATGGTTAATCAAAATATCAGATTTATTTTATTTTGAATAATAGAACCTACGTGTGTAATACTGTAAGTTGTATTACAATGTTTTTTGATTCGTTAATAGTATTTTCTGTTTTTGAGATGGGCTTTGTGTGCGCATTTGTGAATTGCTCAATATACTGCTACCAAACAATGACCAATATTTGTAATAATAAATTAATGACTAGAGATACTTTTTTTTTTAACGAGGAGAGAACTGTTGCTTCAAGAATGAGTTCCAGTTTATGAGGGTCCGCGCAATAGATAATACATTTTTTACCTCTTTTTACTTCACATTTGGTGCTTCTTGACTTGTATAAGTTCACAATTTTTAGGCAATAGATTCGACTTAGAGATGGGCGAACAAACTTAGAAGAGTACAATAAATTGCTAACTGGTAATTGCGAAAAAGTAAGCTAGTAAGAATTCACGAAAAGCACGAAGATATTGAAGGTTTGTTGTGTTTTGAAAAACAATTTTTAGATGAGAATGCGCCGATTGAAATTTTGCTTAACTCGACTTACCGAATGAGTTATCTTCTGGTACTATGGAAGCACATACTTTCTCGTATTAATTCTGCCTTTTGCTATTTTCGAAAATTCAGACAGTTCAACAAAAACGGGATCTGCGCTATTTTATAAAACAATCTTTGCACTATCCGAAGGAAAAAGTTTAATCAAACATTTGAAGTCATTTTAGAGTAAATTTTGAAAATATTGCAAGGACTAAATGTAAAGAATCCCAAAAAATGAAAACTCCTTTTAAAGCTCGCGGGGCCTCGAGTTCTTTCAGTTCACGCGCTAGCGCTGATGACGGACGAACAGAGAGACGTTTTGCCGTCAACCAACTTTTCGTTATCAAGGATTGTGAT